GCGAAGTTCAAGAGAACTAAAGGTAAAGTCGAAAGCAATTTACTTGTTAAACACATCCAAAATTCCAATCGTAATAAGTAAAATTGAAAGAATCTGGTTTCAGCTGGAAATTCGGTTCCTTTAAGAATGGTCAGATTTGGAGTCAGAGAAGGTATGCAACTAGTTTCATTATCTAACGTTTGTTTAACCCTCAATAAACAAATTAATAGTCATCCAACCTTTTTCACTACTTTTAAATACGTAGTATTTCTATACTGTAAATTTTAGACACCTTTTAATTTACTTAAACTTCAAGATAATCAAATTAAAAAGTCGCTTGGCTATTTCTTCTTACACATTTTGGCTCTTTAAAGGTAAAGCAAATGAATAATAGCATAATGTAAAGGAAAATCGATTTAAGAAAGATAAAGTTTATCATGTTTAGAAATAGAAATAATGTAGCTTTAAAAAATTGAAGCTTGATGTTCTAATTTAATAGGGTTATTAACTGATGTGTAAAAAAGGGATCAAGTTTATGATGGATCTTGTAAAGGATATTTTCTTCACTATTTTTTCGTACTTTATTTAGTACAATTTCTATGCTTTCTCCTAAAATGAAAATTAAATGTGGAACAATGGAAATTTCTCTTAGGCAATATGTCAACAGACAGCAAATGTATATGTAGTTCTCGATTTTTTATAGCATAATAAGGAATCTTCTCGTGAAAATAATACTGTCACAGGAACGATAACGGAACTTTCTATTAATGTGAAACAGAATTTAGTAACTACTTTTAAAATATTTTAGCTATTAAATTGATTAGAGGATTACTTCAGAAAAGAGCTTAAACATTGCACTAAATTAAGTACGAAGAGAATAGTGAAAAATATATACACTTGACAAGATCTATCGTGTAGTTGATTCCTTCTTTATAATGAATATTAGATAATCCAGTTGAGTATAAGTATGAAACGTCTGCAACGACAACGTCAGAATCGCAAATGAATATCTCTCCATGTCCAAAAATATATTCATTTACGACATCCTTTACTAAAGTAAGGGCTTGAATCGATCGTTATTAAAAACTCTTTCAAAAGATTCCAACACGTGAAAGAACGGCAATTAGTTCAAAAGATTGAATACTGCTTATGTGATGGTCTACTTAATTTCCTCTAAACCATCTAATACATGGCCCATCCACCAGAAGCTGAGATTACCTGCCCAGTGATCCATCGACTTCTATCTTCAGCAAGAAAAGCGACGATTTCAGCAATGTCAGAAGGTAATCCAATGCGATTTTCAAATGGAGTCGTTTTCTTTGCAAACTGAATTACTTCATCCGAAAGTACCCCCTTTAACATATCGGTATCAACAGCTCCTGGATTAACTTGATTAACGGTATGCCCTCGAGGGCCTAATTCGGCGGCCCAACATCTAGTAAAACCTTCGATTGCTGCTTTGCTTGCACAATAAACAGGCTGCTGAAGAAATCCCAACCTTCCAGCAACACTTCCAAAATTTATGATCCTTCCTCCATTTTCTTTTTCTTTTTTGGGAAGGTGTGGCACTATCGCTTCTGTCATAAAAAAGACACCACGAACATTTACATCAAACATACTGTTATAATCTTCCATAGTTATTGTTCCTATAGGTTTTAATGGACCTGCGTACCCTGCATTGTTAACAAGGATATGGATGGTAGGACCAAAAGCTTGAACTGTGGCATTAACAATATGTTTAGCACTTGAAACATCACGCAAATCTGCCTGAATTTTGATCGCATCCGCTGAGGTGCCAAAACCCTTTATTTTTTTCACCAACTGTTCAGTCGCATCAATACTGCTGTCAGATGTGAAGGTAATGGCTACTTTAGCACCACGGCGTGCCAGAGTTTCAGCTATTGCTGCTCCAATTCCTCGTGAAGCTCCTGTAACGATTGCTACTTTGTTTTGGAGGGGCAAGCTATTTTCTGACATCTTAAATGGGAAAGTGGTTTAAGCTCTGAAAGGCTTGTCATTCTGTCTTATATAGACAAAGATTTGTAATATCATCGTATTAGTCATCATAATTTTTTCGTTAGTAATCATTCCATGGGTTAGTCCTATCTGTATTTTCTCGAGTAACAAGTAAATTTATGTCACTTATGTTTGCGCGGTGTTAAGTCAATGTGTCACGTTAATAATTCTCACGGTCTATGAGAATAAAAATCAAGTGGAATTAATATCTACGATTGTAGAATTGTATACGTTAATTGGACTTAGTTGTACTACGTATATACACGCTAGTAATGTCCAGGGATCTGCTTAACTAAATTGAAAGTAGGAAGACGATCTTATTTAGCCATACCGTAAATCAAGTTAATCCAGGAGCTGTTGATACCGATATGTTAAAGGGGGTACTTTCGGATGAAGTAATTCAGTTTGCAAAAAAAATGACTCCATTTGATAATCGCATTGGATTACCTTCTGACATTGCTGAAATCGTCGCTTTTCTTGCTGAAGATAGAAGTCGATGGATCACTGGGCAGGTAATCTCAGCTTCGGTGGATGGGCCATGTACTAATTGTTTGGGAAAAGTTTTTGAGGAAATAATCATATGTTTTTTCTTGCGCAGCAATTTCCGTTCTCATCTTAATTACGCATAATAGAATAAGTTATGATTTATTTTTTTAATTTATGACATTTAATATATATAAACAGATAGTAATAAAAACAATCGACTCAAAACCCTTATGATAAATTAGGATTTCTCTGTATGAAACGAGATTTTCTACAATTACGATTCTGAGTTACACTTAGGAATCCCAATGCTCTATTGTCATAATTAAATACTTGAAGAAGTTATCAGCTTCCCAATGAAATTCTTCAACTCCCTTAAGTATTTTAGGACTTTTTAGTTGTCAAAGGGGTATTGAAAAAAACCTGTCATGGCAAGAAGTAATGAATATATATATAGTCCCTGAATCAAAACGCATATTTTTTTTTTGGATTTACGTGATTAATCAATTTACTTCACCAAGTTATAGCTGTAAGGTCTAATGTATTTCTCACGGTGTTAGTGGCCGATCGTAAAATTTTTTTATGAAGATTTACTCTCGGAATTCCTCTCATTGATTATCCTGTCCGTATTTTTATTATTTGAAGGATCTAATAAAGATTACGAAACTTGGCTAATTGTAATTTATGGCTGTTTTCTTCTCAATTCATTATTCACAATCGAGGCATTTATTATAGTTTACTCTAGCCCTACAGAGCTCCAATCTATCAAGAAGTCAAAGTATATATAACACTGTACTTTACTGAAATTTTTTATAATCAGTCTTTTCCTTGAAAGGATTCATTAAGTCATCATTCTATTTAGACTTCTCTCTAATAATCATTTAATTTTATGTTTCTATAAACCTCAAAGTGTATTTACTTAAAGACAAATGCATTATCAAAAATAGTAGATACAATAATGCTCATACTTAAGAAGATCTGATTCTTTTATTATCAATATTTTAAAGTAAAAAGATACTTAGTCTTTGATTTTTACAGTAATAATCAATTGAGTTTTTG